GTACAGCACTTTGGTTGGCCTTGTAGCTGTTTAAAGTGCTCTGTAAATAAAATGGTATGGTCAACAGTACAGTAAAATGTTCAGGATGAGAAGAACTGATTTGACTTGCTATAAACAAAGAACAAACAAACAAGAAATACTAAAGCATTCAAAAAAGGTACAAAATAAAGTACCAAAAAGTAAAAAAAGTAATTATAATGTTCACAAGGTACTAAAGAGAGATAGTAAACAACAACATGGTAGAATATAACAGTGCAAGCACGATGAATCTGTATGAATAAGTATTACAAGGGTAAGCTAAAATGCTTGATATATATTGCACATACTACACAGGTTGTGTGACAAGTTATTGCACAGGTGACATTGAGATTGAATTGTGCTGGTAAAGTAGATACAAAGATAAAGTATGATACATGATACAGCCACATGGTGCAGCATCAATAAACATATTAGCTGTCACAAGCTAATATCAGTCATATTAACAACAAAAAGGTTCAATCATGTCATCTGGACCCGTTTCTTTAAGTGAGATACTTAAAGAAACTGATCCACATTACATGATTGAAACTTTTTTCTTGTTATCTACCTGAATGATTGAGCTTACAAATCTTTTTCGGAACTACGCTGTCCTCAGTTGTCCTCAGTTGTCCTCGGTTGTCCTCAGTTGTCCTCAGGATGTTTCTGTGAGTAGCAAGTTATCCATCTGGCCTGAAACATTTGATTGTTGTACATGATGATTGATTGTTTTGGATGGGTGTGTTTTGCATGTGTTAAGCGTCTACTTCTGAGAATCCACCAGGAGGTTGGCTTGAAACACAGCAGTGACGGCTACTTATGGGACAGAGCTGGTTGGCAGGCCTCAGACTGAGGAGGAAGTCCTCTGGATGGGAGGTGAAACGTTTCTCACTTAAAGAAACTGGTCCAGATGACATGATTTAACATTTTTTATTATCTTCCTGGATGACTGGGCTTACAAACTTTTTTTATTAGTCATATTAGTTGTCACAGATGTGGCTTGGTGCAATGTTATTGGCAACTGTTCAGTATTATTTATCAAGAGTTCAGTAATCTGACAGCTTGTGGATCATAGCTGTCCTTTAGTATTTTCATATGCAATGACAGACTCCTGCATCATCTGCCTGAGAGTAGTAGATGGAAGAGTCCTTGTTCTGGGTGGATGTGGTCCTTAATGATGCTGCGTGTTTTACACAGACATCGGCTGTGGTAGATGTCCTGGATGGTATGGAGACTGCTGCCAGTGATGTCCTCTGCTGTTTGCACCACCCTCTGTAGAGTTTTCCGGCTCTGACTGGTGCAGTTCCCGTACCACCTTGTGATGCAGCCTGTCAGCAGGCTCTCAATGGTGCACCTGTAAGGGTTGGTGAGGGTGCTGGTTTTTGTACCAAAATCATCATCAATTGATCATCATCAGCATAACAGTAAAAAGAAAGACCACGTTTCCTCATGAAAGACCCCAAATGGAGAAGATACAGTGGGGAAAAAAAGGGTCCAAGTATCGAGCCCTGCGGAACCCCAGAAAGAGGCACTGATGCAGATAATAAATTACCAACCTAAACACAAACACTCCTGTCACTCAGCTAAGTAAGGAACCAGTCTAATGCTGCACCTGTAATCCCAACCCAGTGTTCTAACTGTGATATAAGGACACTGTGGTGAACAGAGTCAAGAGCAGCAGTAAGGTCCAGGAGAACAAGGATCGCAAACTGACCAGAATCATTTGCTAAAAGAATATTGTTACAACCCCTAAATAAAGTTGTTTCAGTGCTGTGTAATTAATTAAAACCACACTGAAAGATCTCAAAAATTCCATTCTCGTTCAAAAACACATTTAATTGAATAAAAACTATTTTCTCCAAGACGGAAGACACCTTTCACAGGACACAACTTAGTTTAACATGTCCCTGTGGTCGAATCTTTTTATTTATTTATTTTTTAATCTTTTTTTTAGGAGTACCATCCTTTTTGTCAAAGCCAGTTCATAGTCAATATTTGAGCTTTTTTATTTATTTTTTCTCATCATTTGGTGAGTTTCAGGTTATTTCAACAACCTGTGGGTTTTTCTTTCTTTAACTAAAAGGTACCAACAAACTGGTCCCTGTCACTGTATCCAGTGTATGTTTAACGTGCAAAGATTCAGCACAAGAGCACACATCAGTGCACTGGACCCCATCTTCTTACAGTTACATTAAATGTTCTTCCTCCCTCTGTCCCTGCAGGTTTTTAACTCCACTCTCCTCTTCATTGTGTCTGTGTGGGCAGTGAGCGGTGCTTGGATGCTGCTCCCTGCCTCCTCCACACATCCACTGAGTTATGTAAGCACACTAAAGAGTAGCCCATATGGCACTGAGAGAGAAAGTATTTATAAAACCGTCTAATGAAAAAGCAGCTCACTCCCCTGAAGCTATGCTAACACTAACACATGATATATTTTACTTTGAGAACATTCGCCTCTGTTTCTGTGGATTATTCTGACCACAAGACAGAAAGAAACAAACGCTCAGGGTCAAGATCTGTTATATTAGATAGTACAGAGAAGTTTTGTTTTAATGCTTGAACACGACAAACTTTAACACGCCTGTTCGTTCAAAGCAGCAGTAAAATTGCGATTAACGCAACGAGCAATTTAAAAGATGGCTCAGCATTTCAAATTGAAATCTTTAAGGAAACATTCTTGTATGACTTGGCTCCTGGTGTTGGGATGCAATTATTAATGCAAATATTGTTTATACGTTTTTTTTAGTAGGAAAGAAATAGCAATTTATATAAATAAAAATACAACATTGGTTGTAAATATGTGTTTGTTGAAGGTTTTCTTTAACAAGAGCTAAGTTGGATGTGGATTTAGAACACATAAACACTGCCCCTTAGTGGGCAGTACCAAACCATACACCTTCACCAGTGAGTCAGACTGGTCTATACATCCATCATCTTTACCCACTTCTTCTTCCTTTTAGGGATGCGGGGGTCACTGGTTCCCATACCCAGCTATGTGCGAGAGGTGTGGAACACACTGGACAGATCTCCAGTCCATCATAAGGACATATAGAGACAAACAAGAAACATTCACTTTCTCACTCACACCTAGAGACAATTTAGAGTTACCAATCAGCCTAACATGCATGTTTTTGGTCTGTGGGAGGAAACTGGAGTACACGGAGAAAACCCATGCTGCACGGAGAGAACATGCTAACTCCACCCAGAAATTTCTCGGGCAGGGTTTTGAACTGGCAACCTTCTTGCTGGGAGGGAACAGCTCTACCAACTGAGCCACTGTTATATAAATAAGAATAAGTAATAACTGAAATTTTGTGGGGTTTTTTTTATTTAATTTAAATAGCTAATAGTTAGTACATATATGGAGCTTTTTTTTTTTCAAACAAGTGATAAAATAGTGTGCAATGCACGAGTGCTTTCACAGAATAAAAGTTTTTTTTTCTTTGAAACCATTTTAAAATCATCAAATCTTCTAGTAGGATTTGCATAAAGTCATGAGTTTTGCAGGATCATAGTCCTGATATCAAACAGGCGCTAATGGACAGCAGGTTCAATTTTCAATTTAGTTTATTCCTACAGCGCCAAGTCACAACAAAGTTGTCTCAGGGAACTGAACAGGAACATTCACATACACAAAAAGACGATAAGTAAAGTTCTCTATCTAAGGAAGCAGCAGACTCCATGAATCTTCCTGAGCAAGCACAAAGGAGACAGTGGAAAGAAAAAACTCCCTTTTAACAGGAAGAACCCTCCAGCAGAACCAGGCTCAGGACAAGCAGCCATCTGCTTCGACTGGTTGGGTTTGAGAGGACAGGAAGGAGAAATGAACACAAAATGGCAGGTCCAGATGTAGATCCAGATGTATGCCTGAAGGAAAGACAAAAAACACGTTAAGATAGAAATAATTACAAATACAAACAGGTAGAGACAGGAGCAAAGTGAGGAAACGTGGTCAATTTGTCCTCCAGTAGTCTAAATATCTATAGCAGCATAGCTAAGTGACAGCGCAGGAAACCCAAGCCAACCCTAACTATAGGATTTATCAAAAAAGACTTAAAATGTGTCAGCGTCACGGACAGAAACTGGAAGTTGGTTCCACAAGAGAGGAGCCTGATAACTGAAAGATCTGCCTCCCATTCTACTTTTGGAAACTCTAGGAACCACAAGTAAACCTGCAGTCTGAGAGGGAAGTGCTCTGTTAGGAAAATATGGAACAATAAGATCTGTAATATAAGATTTATGTCTTGATGTAACAGACGTTACAGAAACACAAACAGCTGGATGCTTCAGGGTGGGGTAGAGGTAGAGCAGCCGATCTGGGACTAGAAAGTTGTGGTTCAACTCCCCGCCATGCCCACATGTCGTGGTGCCTCTGAGCAAGATCCCTAATTGCTTCCCTTACATTGCTGCCCACTGCTCCACCTGGCTGTGTCTCACGTGTGATGGGTTAAATGCAGAGAACTGATTCGTCATTGTATGGGATCATACACTGATGACACATAGCACTTTAATTTTTTTTGTCCTGTTCATTTAAAATTCTATGGGTTATTTTTTCTTACAAACGAAAGGGATTTCAAATGTAACTAAGCACAATACATGAAATGAAACATACTAAAAACATAGATTTAAACAATAACTTTAAAACGTACAAAGCACCCAAAATTCATACTCACAGTAATGTGAGTAGATGTAATTCACTACTTTCCACCTCTGAGGGAATCACAGCTCCTTTCTGGGATCAGATCATTTAAGTCACTAAAAAGACCCGGCTCTTGAGGCTCCCACACAGTCCAAGACTTACGGTTTGTCAGGATCGGACAGCGGAGCCAAACGATCCTGATCCTGAGAAAAAGTAGGAACCCTTATCTGTAGAAGCTGATGTGAAAGATCTACTGGGTCTTATTGAGCTCAGTCCAGCCATGGTTTATGACATCTGCCTCCCACACTGCACCAGAGGCTGACGGCTCCTAACCCACCTCAGCCCCAGAGATGGTAAGAGATGCCACAAAGTAGGTGACAATGCCTTAACCGTATGTGTGTTGATGGACTCAGGGGTCTGTTCCATCCTTGTCAAGGGGAATGCTAACCTACACTCCTTTCATACAACAAGAATAAATTCCTAACACCTTCAGTGATTGGATCTGGGTTTTTTACAAGTCAGTATGTGTTTGATCTGGGGGGGAAAAGTGACGACGAGCAGGAAAGGAGGACTTTACCACTAAAGTAAACTCAAGGAGATTGAGTACAACTCTGCCCTCTGTGTGAGCTGCTTTATTCACTGGCATAGAGTGAAACTCAAGAAACACACAGTCTGTTAACTGTCAGGCAGCAAAGCTTCACCTCGACCTCAGTTCAAGTTGAACTCAAGATAAGGAAAAAAACTCCTGGAACTCTTTGCCATGTTGAAAAACAGAGGTGGAAAGACTAAAAACAACATACTCAAGAAAAGTACAGTTACTCTGTTTAATTTTACTCAAGTACAAGTTACCTGTGTAAAATGTTGCTCATGTAAAAGTAACGTGTTAGGCCGATGCCCACAGTCACTGCTGAGGGATCTGAATAGTGGACGCTTGTAATTTATGAGTGTTTTTCTGAACGTTGATGTGGGAACCTATGGTAACTTTTGATATGGAACTTTCTTACACCTAGAGGCATTATTAACCAAAAATGGAAGTCTGTACCTTATTTATTATTCAAGTTATCATGCTCACAACATAAACCCTGCCCCAGGGAATGGAGTCTTGTTGTTCCTGATGCATGCTCAATAATCCAGGTAGAAAAATCCAAAAAAGTTCAATCTGGTCCTCTGGACATTCAAAAAAAACAAAAACAAAACAAAGCAAAAAAAATGTAGAAACGTTTCGTCTCTCATCCAAGAGACTTCCTCAGTCTGAGGTGCTGTTTTCAGCTCAGTCTCTTAAATAGCACCTTCTCAGAGTGGATCAACCAGTTTGCTGATGACAACCAAAACCAGCTGATCACATGCTCAAGAAGGACCATCAGCCTAACAATGGATCATTAGCACACTGATGGCTGTTTACTGTTCACAGAGGGCTGAGTGATACTAGCAATCACAGCATTGTAAGAGGGGGACAGTTGAACCCGGAGGCCTCCACCCCTGTTTAACGATGGACGGTTTCTTTTCACAAAGATGGCCTCCTTTACTCCTCTCTCAAACCATCGTTCCTCTCTGTCCAGGATGTGAACATCTTCATCCCTGAAAGAGTGACCGCTGGCCTGGAGATGAGTGTAGACCGCAGAGTCCTGGTCTGATGATGTTGATCTTCTGTGCTGGGCCATCCTTTTGGCCAGTGGCTGTTTAGTTTCCCCGATGTAAGACTGATCACAGCCCTCCTGACACTGAACAGCATACACAACATTACTCTGTTTGTGCCGGGGGACTGGATCTTTGGGATGAACCAGTCTTTGCCGTAATGTATTTTGGGGTTTAAAAGCCACTGGGACGTTATGTTTAGAAAATAAACGTCTCAGTTTCTCTGATACTCCCTCAACATATGGAATGACCACTGGTCTGGGTCTGGGTTCCTCCTTTTCACCTGATCTTGTTGGAGTCTTGTTGTTCTTCCACTTGGTCTCTTGCACACATCAAACATCAACATGCTCCTTTTCGTCAGTTCAGAATAAAGGGACGAGACAGCCCCTGGTTTACTCCAGAGCTAGCTGACCTCCTGCACAGGAGAGACCATCTTTGGGCCGCAGCGAGAAAATCTGACTCAGACACTGATTGGTTGAGTTTTCGACAGATGAGGAATAAATGTACAACTGCTGTCAAAGCAGCAAAACGCAACTATTTTTTTAATCTCAGACATCCAAAAATCTAAATGACCATAAAAGATTCTGGAAAACTATCAAATCTCTCTCAGGCACCCCCCAATCATCTGACCTCCCATCACAACTTCTCGTTAACTCTGTTCCTGTGTCAAATAAGCACGAGATCCTGAACTGTTTCAACAAACATTTTGTTGCTTCTGGTTCTTTATTTGACACAGTTACTAATGGAAAATCAGCCACTTCACTTAATAGCCAAACTTCTACAAATCAAATCCCTCCTACAAGTCAATCCTCAGTTAATCACAGCTTCTCTTTTTCTCCATTCTCAGTCAGTGAGGTCAATAAACTGTTAAAAGATCTTGACCCTAAAAAATCTGCAGGTCCAGATGAACTTCCACCTTATTTCTTAAGGCTGGCTGCTCATATCATCACAGTCCCTGTGACCCACATCTTCAATCTCTCCATAAGACAAAACTCCATCCCAGACACTTGGAAAACAGCCTTTGTTCTTCCTTTGCTGAAGGGAGGTGACCCCACCTCACTGAACAACTAT